GGAACTCTCAGCATACTTTTGACATTAGTGATTTTCTGCACTGTTTCCATCTGCAATTCTTTCCACTTGAATGCAGATTAAAAGATTGGAAGTTTGGGGGCAGGGGAGGAGGTGGATAAAAATTATTCTCTGAGGATATTTATTATACCAACAATGCAACTTAATGCATCTTTGATGCTGTGCAATTAGGTCTTCAAATTTCTTATAACTAGAAATGGTCTTCATCAGTGGGAATTACTGTAGATAATTTCAGTAAACTTGGGGATAATTTGGCTGGCTGGAAAGCCTAGACCAATATATAAAGCATTCAGTTTAGGGGAAAAATAGATGTGCTCTTCACATTAATCTTCTTCTTAACTACATTGGAAAATGCTAACTCATATAAAACCCAAAGAGAAAATCAATCATTCTTTTATGTTTTAAAATAAACATATATCATTGCAGTGTGGCAACTAGAAAAACAGCCCCCAAACGAATTTACTGAAATTTCACTTAAAATGCTTTCACGCGACACCTGTCTATCAGTTTGTGGCACTGGGCTAGCTGGCATGTGGCAGTGGTGCTGGAAGGAGTGTTACCTGGATTTCAAATACCAGCAGGGTCACCCAACATGAACAGGTTTCAACAGAGCTTCCGGTTTAAGAAGAGACTACAGAGAAGGACTCAACTGCGCATTTCATTTCGGAGGGATTAGTACTGAACCCCTCATACATAGCTGCAGTGCATTCTCAAATATAGTGCTGGAAGATGAGCCCCTTAGATCTTAGGGTACTGAAAATACAACCGAGAAAGAGCTTCTTTCACCAAGTAGGGGTGACCATAGTGATGGGAATGGAGTGGAACTGTCCGACCTTCACTTGCTGATAGGGCCTGGCCCAGAATGCGAAGAAACAGCTGCAAACAGCTATTAATAATCGCATGTGGGATACATGTACAAAGCACGCTCTTAGAAAATTGAAAGTCATCTAAAATGAAGTTGGAATGCAAAAAGATCAACATCTTGGGCATCAGTGAACTGAAATGGACCCATTTGGGCCTTTTTGAATCAGATAATCTATGATTTACTATTCTAGAAATGACAAATTCAAGAATAGTTTCCCATTTATCATCAAAAAGGACATTTAAAAATATATCTTGAAGTACATAGGTGACTAAATGATGCATCTGTTTACATATACAGGTTTAGCTCTGATATACTTTAAAAGTGAAATCCCTGTCAAATGATCTCCATCAAGTGACAGGAAATTTCTCAGCTAACCACTGAGCTTTGGATCATGGTGCATTTGATTTGTTCATTCTTTATGGAACATAAAACAGCACAGATGGTTACTAAATGCACTTGTAGCTATGTGCACTTTGTAAGTTACTGCTTGGACAATTTAAAAAATTAAACTAAATGTATCATGAATCACCTGATTTTTTTAATCAAATAATCATAAATATTCATATTTCAATATTATATGGAACTTTTTTAAAGTTAAAGAAATGTATCTATAGCATAAATAAACCAGATTTTAGTACTTAAAATGTATACTTTCAACACTAACATCACTGCCCCCTGGTGGAGTAGCGAGCTCCATGTGGAGCGGGTAGTCGTACAGTCAGAAGTAGAAACCGCTTGCTGTTCTACTGCGACCTGTAGCGCCCCACTGAGTTGGAATCCACTTGATGGCAATCAGTTTGGTATGAGTTTTAAACTATGGAACCTCAAATTATTTAAAAATATACATTCACTTTGAGTAGAAAGTCTTGATGAGTATTACTTTTCCAATGATTAATATGAACTCATGTGATTAATCTTCTGATTACATGTGCATCAATCTTAGCCATTCTCTATGGAACATGTAACCGTGTGGCTTTGAGTTTTCCTGATGTAAGAATGAAGTCCACAAAAGAATATAAGAGGGTAAGTCATGAAGCATTGCCAAAACTAATAGAAAGTTTAATTTCAAACAGAAATATTAAAGTATGAAGGTTTTGTTTGCACACTATGTTCTCTGTTTACATCTATACACTTCTGAAGCAGTGTTTTCATCTCTCTGATCCTACATTCAAGGAACCCTGTGTACCTTTGACTTACACCACCTCAACATGGCAGTTTTGAAATAGATAAATTGTGTTCCCTTGAATTATTCTTTGAGTGTTGAGAGCAAGGAAAATTTGAGGGGAAAGATCAGGGAGGTAGGGTGTATGAGATAAGGTTTCCCAAAGAAAATTTTATAAGACAGACATTGCTAACCTTTAAAAATTAACAGGTACATTGCACAGATAAACGTAGTCAGTTCAACCTTTTCTGCCTTATTCTCACCAATGTTGCTTTCAACTTTTAATGAACTTCTTCATGACATGCTCCTGTGATTATTGCATGGTCCTTATCAAAATCTAAAGATGACCCCTTTGGAACCTCCCCATAACAGTTACCATAACCTTCTGAGCATATCTTCCTGTAGATCTCCGTGGAAGATGTGGATCTGCATTTTATTTTGACTGGACATAATTTTTAAGGTACCCTAATGGTACTACACCATGGTGGCATAGTGCTTACCATTGGGCTGCTAACCCTAAGGTCAGCAGTTCAAAACCATTAGCTGTTCTGTTGGAGAATTACAGGCTTTTTTGGATTTATGGACTTGGAAACTCATAGAGGCTGTTCTACCCAGTCCTCTAGGGTCATGATTAGTCAGTATTGACTTGGAGTCGTGGGTTTGTGTTTCGGTGAGAAGATTAATACCTGTGTATTGCTGAGACAACTTGCCTGACACTCTCCACTAATGGCACAGTGTTGTTGTCAGGCGCAGTCAGGTCAGTTCTGAATCATAGTGACCCTGTGTATTACAGAAGAAAGCACTGCCCAGTCCTGTGCCATCCTCCTAACTGGTCTTATGTTTGAGCCCATTGTCAAAACCACTGTGTCAATTCATCTTGTTCAAGGTCTCCCTTTTTTTGCAGTCCTGCTACTTAACCAAGCATTATTTCCTTCTGCAGGGCATGGTCTCTACTGAACCCATGTCCGAATTATTTGAGAGAAGTCTCACCATCCTTGCCTCTAAGGAGCATTCTGGCTGTACTTTTCAAGATAGATTTGCTTGGCAGTCCATTTAACTTTCTATATTTTTCACCAGCACCATCATTCAAAGGCATCAGTTCTTCTGTCTCCCATATCCATTATCAAACTGTCACATGGACAACAGGCGATGAAAATACCATGGCTTGAGTCAGGTGTACCTTAGTCAACAAAGTAACATTGTTGATTTTCAAAACTTTAGAGGTCTTGTGCAGATTTCCGAATGCAATACTGCTTTTGACCTCTTGATTGCGGCTTCTAGGAGTATTGATTGTGAATCCAAGCCAAAAAAAAAAAAAGCTTGACCACTTCAATCTTTTGTCCATTTCTCACGATGCTACCTCCTGGTCCAGCTGTGAGGATAATTTGTGATCTTCATCAGCAGGGCTCCACATCCTCCTCACTTTCAGCAGCCACGGTTTTTTCTTGCGCATATTGCAGGTTATTAATAAGCCTTCTCCAATCCTGATGCCACCTTCTTTATACAGTCTAGCTTCTCTGACTATTCACTCAGTTTATAGATGAAATAAGTCTATCTCACCTGAATGTGGAGAACACCTCCGGATCAGATTTGACACATTTAACACTAATGACAGAACACCTGAAGAGCGTTGGGATGACTCCAGGAACATCGTACATGAAGAAAGCAAAGGGTCATTAAAATTTTAGGAAAGAAAGAAAAGATCAAAATGGATGTCACAAACTGATTGCAAAGACATATTTGAAATAAATCTGAGAATATCTGAGGTGAAACCCTCGCTGCTGTGCTGTGCCATCGAGTAGATTCCAACTTGATGCCACCCAGTACACAGCAGAGCAAAGCGCTCTACAGCCTGTTCCTTTGCCTCAGCCCATCAGGCAGTCTCTGTGTCGATCCATCTTGTTGAGGGTCTTCTGTTTTTCGCCACCCTTCCACTGGACCAAAAATAATGTTTTCTCCAGGGGCTGGTCTCCCCTGACAATACATCCAAAGTATGTATGAAGACAGTGTCTTTCCATCCTTGCCTCTAAGGAGCACTTTGGTCTTGTTTCTTCCAAGACAGTTGGGTTTATCCATTTAGCACAGAGTAATTTCAGTATACTTTTCCCCCACCATAATTCAAATATATTGATACTTCTTTGATCTTCCTTCTTCAATGTCCAACTTTCACCTGCATATAATGCAATGGAGAATACCAGGGCTTTGGTCAGAAGCACCTTAATCCCCAGTGTAACAGCCTTGCTCTTTAAAACTCTAAAGAGATCTTGTGGAGCAAATTTATCTAATGCAATAGGCCTTTTGATCTCTTGACTGCTGCTTCCAGAAGCATTGATTGTGGACCCAAGCAAGACAAAATCCTTGACAGCTTCAACCTTTTTTCTATTTATCATGATGCTACCAATTGGCCCTGTTGTGAGGATTTGGGTCTTCCTTACATTGAATTGTAATCCATATTGAAATCCTTGACTTCATCAGCAAGTGCTTCAAGTCCTCCTCACTTTCAGCAGGCAAAGTTGTGTCATCTGCATACTGCAGGTCATTAATATATCTTCAATGGAGGAAGGAACCCTAGTAGCAATGCTTTTTAAACTCTGCTTGTACATGCACAAAGTACCTGTAGCAGTGATCACCACAGAAACATGTTGCTTCTTAATTCACATGATCAAATTTAAGCAAAAATCTTATTATAAATTATACTTCATATAAAATGGACAAAAGTCAGTCAACTTAATGAATAAAATGCTTAATTAATTAAATTTTAGAGTCCATAGTTATGTCTTCTCATGAATATTAATGCTCTCTTAATTTAAATAAATATTTTTAAGACTGTAGAATACATTTTCCCCCTCAAAATTATTAGAGAGGTACTTTCGTTTCATATGTCACCATTCCATATATTAAAAATCACAAAAGTAAAACACAAAGGAAAACCAGTCCTTACAGTCTGATACTCACTTAGCATGGCGAATATCTGGCAGGGACCGCTCTAGAGCAATATTGTTGCTAACGAAAATGTTGAATCCATTCTCCCTGTAAGCTGAGTCATCATGGTCTTCGTCAGTGAGAGGGTACGGTTTTCCATGTTCACCCTTTCCTAGCAGGAGAAAGAGAATGGGATTAAGAGCTGCAAAGGCCCCCTCTGGCTCCCTGGGTTGTTCACACTATCACTCGCGCCTGCAAACACCAAGATTACAGATAATTCCAAGTCAACCCAGAGATGTCATAGAAGAAAGACTGGGAATGTAAACCACAATGCAAAACACTCACTGCCTTGCAGTAGATTTGTACCTTATAGCAACGCTATAGGACAGAATAGAACTGCCTCCGTGGGTTTCTGAAGCTATCCATTCCTATGGGGTCAGAAAGCCCATCTTTCTTCCATGGCGCTGCTGGTGAGTTCTAACAATTGGCTCTATGCGAACGGTTTTCCTAAAGCCCAATTCACATTCTAGCACATATCATAAAACATGAATGTGCCCTTCTTTAGTCACCTTTTCCATGCCTTAAAAAATGCTTTCATAGCAAAGTCTGCTTTGTGCAATGCAGTGAATTCTTTAGTATAACCCTTCTAGCCATAGCGTTTGTACTTCCACCATGAGACCTTTGTATTACTGCTGGATGAGGGAAGAAGGCAGGCGGAGATAGTGATTGGATTATATGATTTTGTTATGAGTGATTGCTAACAGTGTTCGTGGTAATTGCCATTCTGCTGGGTGTAGAATCAACCATCCCAGGAGTTGACGGTGGGTATCTAAGTACTGCCCAGGAAGAAGAGCCAGGCGCGGAGCATATCATTTGAACCCTGAGATCCGGGGGCACTCAACCTCTTTGATGCACAAGACTTCCTCCTGAGATACCAGAGGAGGGACTTAGGAGCGGCAGTCGTAGAACCACTCTTTTGTATATGAATATCACGTTTACTTATGAACTTTTGACACAAATTTCTATCTAATAAAATGTCCCATTTGAACTTTTCTTGAGCTTACATTGAGTTTAAAGGCCTAAACTTGGAAAATACACACACACACACACACACACACACACACGCACAAACATTCATCTTCTTAAATATTTTCAGCTCTCTTCCCTTGGAACTCAGTAAAATTTTGTAAACTTTTTTCCCCTCTAGCTATATTTTTGCCTTAATCATATTGCAAAAAATATTTTTGTTATTTTTTCTAATTGACACACATTAAAGCTATTGATTTCTGTTCTGCTTTTTTTCTTGACCAGTCATCTTGGTGTACTCATATTTTAACTCTCATGTATCATTTTCTAGTATATAATAATTTTAATTCAAAGAATATTTAATTGTATTTTGTTCATCAATCACTCATACAGTTTCCTTGTCTTATTCAATGATTAACATTAAATAACTTGATAGTCAAAAGGCTTTTATACTGATGTTGACTTTAAAGTGATATTAAGAGAAGCTGAATATTTGATATTTGTTCATTTGTGTTTATAATGAAAGATAATCTACCCAGTTCCCTGTAGCTAAAGGTTGTCTTTTCATGAATATTGTTATATATATACCATTTGATAGTTGCCACTGCATCTTTAAAAACTTACTTTTTTATTAAAAGAATTATATATTTTTTATTTTTATACTTGTTCTTCATTAGTAAAATTCAGTATTTTTGTGTGAAGAAATTTGGTTTCTGTATCATTGCTCCCTCTGATAAAAGAGAATTTGACACCCCTTGTCCCAACCCCGCTCCTTGCTCCCAGCTTCTCGCTTATGCTCCAGTGACGTTAACCTCAATCAAGCCTACAGCCAAGATCACACCGCTGGAGACTGGTAAAGGACTGCATGGCCAAACAGCAGTGGTAAAAAGGTCTCTAATTTCAAGGGAGACAAATAAAAATGTTGAGCATTTCAATTTGAACAGAAACAAAGATTCACTGACTGATTGGGTCTCACATAGTTTCTTGCTTTGATTGCTTAGAAGAAAATGTCAATTACTACTTTTCAAACTAAATGAGAAATTAATAAGTCAATGCAAAAGTTAATTCATACAATGGCTAGTTATTGAGAATTTACTATGTACTCAGTACTTACTTTTCAGTCTATCAACCAACTCGGTATTCAATAGTTCAAATCTCTCATCAACACCCCCTACTTTATATACATTTGACTCAACACACATAGTCACACAGTGGAAAGTACCACCCAAGCTTCAAAGAAGAGAATAGAAGAGAGACTACTAAGCCTTTCCATAATTAGCAATTAGTCATTGAATCTGCAGGATTTAAAAATGCAAATCTCTCTCCTATGTGTGACCAAAATCACTAGAAGAATGTATTTTGTCCTTATACATTTGTAATCTCTGGTATGTAATTGATTTTCTAGCAATTATATAAATTGTTATTATTAGAAAATTAGTAAAGCATACATAGTATCCTTTCTTCAAATTTGTATTTAAAAAATGCATATGCCCTTTGTAAATTTACTGGGAGAAAAATGAGGCTTTATACCTTGTAGAGGGTTACAGTCTTAGAAAGCCACCGGGGCAGTTCCTAAATGGTTGTCTATGAATCAGAATTAATTCAATTGCAGTGAGAGGGAGTTGTGTATACAGTATATATATCCATCCTGTTTATATCTACTTTGGATATTATCAGAAGAGATAAATCCTTGGGGAAAGTTATCATGCTTGGAGGAATAGCACAAAAGAAGAAGGCCCTACACAAGATGGATTAACAGTGACTGGAACAATGGGCTCCAGTATAAGAACAATTATGAGGATGGCACAGGACTGGGTGGTGTTTTGTTCTGTTGTACATAGGGTCTCCATGAATTGGAACCAACTTGATGGCACCTAACAACAACATATATATATGTATATGTATATGTATATATATACACACACACATACACAACTTTTTAATATGTTTTTACTGCTGAGCTTTAAGATTAAATAACTTTTAAAAAGGGAATAGAGGAAAGAACTAGGAGGTGAAGTGCATTTATAGAGGTCTAAATACAGGCATGTGCATATGTATATTTGCACATATATAAATATATTTATATATGATGATGGGGAAAGAGATCAATGTGCATATATTTATAGGTTTAATATTAAGGTAGAAGATGGACATTGGGCCTCCACTCAAGTACTCCCTCAATGAAAGAACACTTTGTTCTATTAAACTGGCATTCCATGATGCTCATCTTCCCAACACAATCTCCAAAGACAAAGTGAGTGCATAAGCAAATGTGGTGAAGAAAGTTGATGGTGCCCAGCTATCAAAAGATATAACACCCAGGGTCTTAAAGGTTTGAAGGTAAATAAGCAGCCATCTAGCTGAGAAGCAAGCCCACATGGAAAAAGCACACCAGCCTGTATGATCACAAGGTGTCTATAGGATCAGGTATCAGGCATCAAAGAACCAAAAAATCATATCACTGTGAATGAGGGGGGAGTACGGAAAACTGAAACCCATCTGTAGGCAATTGGACATCCCATTACAGAAGGGTTGCAGGGAAGAGATGAGCCAGTCAGGGTGCAGAATAGCACCAATGAAACACAACTTTCTTCTAGTTCTTTAATGCTTCCTCCCCACCACTATCATGATCCCAATTCTACCTTACAAATCTGGCTAGACCAGAGGATGTACTCTGGTACAGATAAGAGCTGGAAAGACAGGGAATCCAGGACAAATAAACCTCTCAGGACCAATAATGAGAGTAGTGATACCAGGAGGGTAAGAGGAAGGTGGGGGATAATGATCACAATCACAATGATCTACATATAACCACCTTCCTGGGGGACAGGCAATAGAAAAGTGGGTGAAGGGAGACATCAGACAGTGTAAGACATGAAATAATAATAATAATAATTTATAAATAATCAAAGGTTTTGGGGGAGAGAGAGGGAAAAATGAGGAGCTGATACCAAGGGCCCAAGTAGAAATAAAATGTTTTGAAAATGATGATAGAAACAAATGTCCAACTGTGCTTGACACAATGGATGTATGTATGGACTGTGATAAGAACTGTATGAGCTCCCAATAAAATGATTTAAAAATACAACAAACTAAAAAGATTAAACAACTTTTTTTTAAGACTACACATACAACTTTAAAGTTATAAATTCATTACAACAGCATTTAATCAAATGTAAAGCATTTTCTCTATATAGTTTAATTGTTATACTGATAAATCTCGAGACACAGCTTTTCAAATGAGTCGTTCTATAAAGTGACAAAACAACCTTGTGAATAACCAGTTCTATCACAGTAGAGTTTTCTTAATTGCAGTTCTGAAAGTGGGTTTTACAATTTTATATTCTATCAAACAGCTAAATGTTTATAAGGCAAACAATCGGAGCTCATCTTAAGAGTTAGGATGTATGTAGAGACTTAGGGTCTGTAACATCTCATATCATTTCACTTTTTGTTGTTTCTGAAAAATGAACAATTTTTATGAGGTGTGACACGTAGTCGGCTCAGCCTTATAGAGACCCTATTATAACAAAAAGGAGCCCTCTTTGGTGCTGTAGGCTAAGCGCTGGAATGCTGACTCAGTTTGAAAAAGATGTACAGCCTTGAAAACCCTGTATAGTCCAATAGACTATAAGTCCAAATAGACTCAATAACAAATGGTTACATACAAGAGCAGGACACACTGCCTGCTCCTGTGCCATCCCCACAAACCTTGCTATTTTTGAGCCCACTGCTTCAGTCACTGTGTCGATCCATCTCACTGAGGGTAGGGTCTTACTCCTTTGTGCTGGCCCTCCTCTTTACCACACATGCTGTCTAACTCAAAGGACCGGTCCCTCCTGATAATGTAGCTAAAGTATGTGAGACAGTATGTTGGCATCCTTCCTTCTAAGGGGCATTCTAATGTACTACTCCCCACATGGTTGGTATTATTTCAAGACGGATTTGTTTATTCTTTTTACAGTAAGTAATGTATTCAATATTTTTACCAAAACTATATTTCAAAGGAATATTGTTTTATTCCATTTTTACCCAGTTTTCTCATGCACATGAGGCAACTAAAAATCCAGGGCTTGGGTCAAACACACTTTAGTCCTCAAAGTGACATCTTTGTATTTTAACACTTTCACAGGGTCTTCTGAAGCA